ATTGGGGAATATTTGTTTTCTTCCCTAGCGACCGGTGGTTGTCAAATGGTTGCTGACCAGTCTCTAGGCCTGTGTGAATGAGAGCTTAATGTATTTAAAAATCTGAGTACACATGAGATAAACAGCATCTATACCCATGTATATATAGAGTCATTACCACACACCTGCCCTCGTAAGGTTTCATCACATTGGGCGACATCTGACAACAATGTCACAAGACAAAAGCTGAAATTCTCTGCCACAGGAAGGATATCTGCAACAAAAATAAAAAATGACTAAACAGCACCTATAAAATGAAAAGAAATGACAGGATAAAGTACATGTAAGACTGTTACCCACCCCTTCCTTTGCGTTCCGAGCTTTCTTCAATCCACTGAACTTTAGGGAGTCCTTTAAGCAGCCCAAGAAGGTAGGGAACAATAGCATCTTTGTGCTGAAATACATGTATTCCAGAGTATAAGAAAATGAACATCCTTAAATTAATACAAGCACAAAAGTATGACAATGAGGAGAGGAAACGAGGTACGCTATTTACCTGCAGGTTTGACTCGACTAGAAAAATGCCAAGTGCAATCACAGCATCTCTCCTTCTTTCATCTAGCTGGAAGATTCCTCTGAAGTCCACTGGACACATGCATTGTAGCTTCTGAACCTGTGGGAGGACAATGTGGGTGGATGAAGAGGAGTTGTAAACATTTCTCAACTTTAGGAAGCTATTAAATATAACAATATTTTAAATATAGAGAAATTTCTTGCCTACTGCCCATACGGAAAAGAAATAGTAAAAACTTATATGTGATTACTCATGAAAGTGGCCACTTTCATGAGTAAATCATATAAGGCTTACATGATTTACTCATGAAAGTGGCCACTTTGGCATTATTTTCATACATTGTTTTAGTAAGTATCCAAAACATACAAGATTCATTATATAATTTTTCAAGGGATCTTATATCTGTTTTCACTCTTATATGCTTTTCATACAAGTTTCACACAAGACAGATACAAACTTTATAAGATTTATATATCTTTTCCATATGGGTGGGTTTAAAACAGGCACTTTGTTGTCCCATTAATGTTAATGATTTTGACTATCTAAATGGGCCTCAGGATTTGAATCCAATTAAAAGTCCAGTTGAAAACCTGCCTGTGGCATTAATTAGCCCCATGATTGAGAGTTCAGTGAGGGATTAACCACCATTTAAACAGAGAGCAGGGCCACTACTTCCTGTTTGTTTTCCATGAGAGGAGAGAGAGGATATTTTAAATGATTAAAGCCCACAAAGGGGATGTTGTGGAGACTTCACATAAAACATTCCACTAAAAACTATTTGATTTCAAAGCCAAAGACCAAATCAATCATCCAGGTAAGATGACTGATTTGCTTATAAGACTAAATAATATCTCAATAAGCTTGAGACAAAACACTAATAAATGAAAGAGAGGGAAATGAGTATTCAGCAGGTTATTACAAACTGCTGCTGTCTTTTTGGCTTAGACACCATTGAAATTTTTCATTAAATCTGACTTTTGAAAAATGTCAAAGAAAAGATAAGCAGAAATTAGATTAATAGGACATTTCCATTTTACAAACTGATTCTGAAATTGAACAAAAAAACCACAGGCCATTCTAACATCCACTGAAAGTAACTCCGTAACTCAGACAACAAGCAAGAAGTATAATAATAATTTATTATTCATTAATATTTTTAATCTTCAGAAAGAGTTAAAAATCCCCACTCAAAGATGGCTTTTAAGTAGAGTCCCTCCTCTACAGACACGGTCTCCAATACCAGATGTAGTTCTTGGCTAAAATTCAGAACAATGACTAATAAATAAATTTTGTTTGTTTATCAGACAACACCTTAAACATCCTACATCTCTAAAAATAATCAATATGATCACATACAGATTTATAGAGCAGGTTACTGCAGACAGAAAAACAGCAAAATAAAGTCCACAAACTGGCACACACTTCTTAAACAATAACACAATGGGCTGACGGGTCATTATATTACTGCAGCCACGGCTCTTTATCAAGGAGCGTACTTCCTGTTTATCGTTTCCCCCTTCTGATTCTCAGTAAATGTATTTTCTAATCAGTTCAACCTCTGCATTCTTGTAGAATTTTACAATACACTCAGCTGCTTAATCTCTGAACACATATCCTAACGATTCAACTGAGTAACACTGGCTCATCCAGAAGAGAATTGGTTGTACAATTTAGGTTTCTCAACAACATTCAGTGTCACATTTTCAAGACTGATCCACTGTAATAAAACAATTTCAAATCAGTGTTTGTTAAAATCATGCCATTCAAACAAAACCACTTTTTGCTAGTTGGCATCTGCAGTAGGTTTTGGAACTAGATGGACTCGTGTGAAATTGACAACCTTAAGGTCATAATTTGTTCCCTCTTTGTGTACCTCTTGCCTTGTTCCTCTTAATTTGAGAGAACAGGGAAGTTGCCCCTCTTTCCTGTCATGAACAGATTAACCTGTTTGAGGACCTTGTTACCCATCAACTACACTAAAAATATCAGCACAGATGACAGCTTTATCCTACTCCAAAAGGGGACTCAGAATCGAGCTAGTACTCCTATAGTGAAACTCCACCTTACCATATATTCTGCTACCTTCTGCCAGCAATATTAACGCTATATTTGTCAGCTAAAACTTCTGCATGTGACTATGGATTAAAATATTACTTCAGCCCTCATCACTGAAATGTTTGGGAACAGGATCAGAATTTATTGGTCTCACAGTTTCTTTCCCTGACATAAGACCTGGACACATTGAATACAAGCAGAAGTGAGAAAAACTGAATACACTTGTTGTGTGAGCCATGTTGGATTTGGTAACATTACACAACATTGGACAATGAACTTAAAGTATGCTGACACTGTATTAGAGCAACTGATATGCCCTAGGCATAGCCAAGTCAGAGTGTGTCTTGATTTTTTGTCAACCATTCATTATCACTGTAGTGTACAACAACAAGGAGGTAAATACTACATCATTCATCTAAATCATTCTGTCAAAGTCAAATGCTGGATACATATGCTTTTGTTAACTGACTGTAAGCAGTTAAAGAGTTTAATTTTTTTACACCCTCAGCCTCTGGACGACCACTTTGGGTGATAAGGTCATGATGGCACGATATAAAATACACTATTGGAGCTTATTGGAAAGACTAAAGATGTCATTCTAGGTACAGATGCTGAAAATATGCAATAAAACTCTTTCTGAAAGTGCAATTGAAAAAATAACTCATGACACGTCAACAGTTTTAAGCAGATATGAATACAACTGTCACTATAAATTTTGGCTTTCACAAAACTTTGAAAACCACAAGGCTAAAGCTATGACTACCAATTATGAACTTATTAACCTTTCCCATTAAATACGAGAAAACAAAAAGCTGATAATGATTTGAGCTAAAGTACAATTTTGTCTTGGTCTTAGTTTACTTAATTATTTACAATATGCTTACTGTACTAAACACACACAGACACACACACTATACAACAGCAAAAAAGATGTTGCTGACCAACAGTGGCTAATATATAATTTATGTCTTGATCTGTGTGTCTATTTTGAAGGTAAAGAGTTTAAAAGCAGTCATTTTTACATAACTATCGTTGTGTTTTCCTGCCACAAATAAATAACAATACACACTACACAAACAAACAAATACAAATACATTTAAAAACAAATTCATTTTGAAGTCAGCCAAATAAACAGCTCATTGGAACAGCTCCAAAATATTTAGGTGACTGGACAAATCTTGATTACGTCATACATATTTTATTTCTTTATACATCGTATAAATTACAGATAAGTAACGCTTTTTAACATATTTTCATAACACTTGTATTTATCCCGCACCTCTCCTGACAACATTGACTACACATGTTGGTGCATTCAAAGAATGTTCGGACCACAATGATTAAAGATCTGGTGCCACCATATTTGGTAATGACCCTCAAACTAAAAGTTTAGAATACTGTATAAATGTATAACTGTACATACAGCGGGTGTTCGACTGAATCAGGACACAAAAAGGGTTTGCTTTCCTGTGCCAACATGTACGGATGAAGAGTAAGGATCTAATTGTTCACATGAGGGGAAAAGTTGGGTTTTTTTAAAAGGAAAACTACAGGCTAAAAACAGCTAACGTTAGCCGACATTAGCAAAGTACCAGTGATGCTATGTGGCGCCCCTTAATCCTGAAATAACTCTATAATTTATATATTGACAAAACAGTCATGTTTAGAGTCTATTCTGATTCATAACACAGACCACACTGGTAGAAAAGCGGTCTGTGACGGGCCTTACTGTCAGAGACTATTTAGGCTATTAGCTGGTCACCGGTAGGTCGCTAGTCTAACTGAAGCGTTACCTTGTCTATCGGTGCCTGCCGGTGAGCTGCCAGTGACCTTGCCAAAGACAGGACGGTGTTGAAATAAAATCCTCTGCTTCCGCCTCCATTGAGAGACATGTTAACTACCCTTGGAAGAACTACAAACACACAAGCATCTTCTTTCAAGCGTCTCTCAACGAGTAGCTAGTGAATACCAACGACTGTCATTGGGCTGTACTGACAGCTACGGCAGGCGTAAGGTCCAAGAAGGGCAAATCGACAATATGCCAACAAATAATCCATCCATGGGTTCCGTAGGATTATGGAGCTTATCTCAGCAGTCACAGGGCAAGTGGCCATAATGTATATAACAATATAACAGCATTTTATCACATTCTGTCAATGATAGCTAATGTCTGTTTGGTGACTGTTAGCAAAGAAGATAACATTTGTGCACAGAAAACCACAAATAACCACCAGTACTACACACAACAGTAAGTAATCACAAAAAATTAATATAGTACAACACAAATAGCACTATTATTATTAATCCTACACATTCAAAGAATACAATGCTTATTCTGACAAAAAGTTAGGAGAAATTTGGATGACGGCTTGAAAGAAAAAAAGACCATACCAACAGTCTGATCCATGTTTATTTCTGAGCATTGATATTAGAATTAAGAAGATCGAAGGCACAATACCAGCTTTTAACTCCTGGTATATTTTTCATAGAATATTCACCTGTTAACAAGAAAACTCCAGAAATATTTAAAAATCTGTGACAAAGTGTGATGCTCCTGTAGGGTCTGGTTAAACGGGAGGCTGAAAAAGGCAACATGTGGTAAACATTGTGTCTCCTCCACAAAGAGATAACATAAGCAAACTAATTTAAAGGCATTGCATGTAAACAACCAGACTCCGTGTCTAGAACTCCAGTTAATAGCATGGCATTATATTTTCAAGCAGCAGTTGGCACATTGGGTCATCAGTTGATTAAAAAAAGAAAAGGCAACTAATATTACACAGTAAAGAATAAAAATAAACTGCAATTAAAAGTTAATGAGAAAGGAATGAGATGGAAGGCACTAATAACACCATTTCTCAATGAATGAAAAAAAAAACAAAAACTAACAGTTCGAAGGATAATAGAAGACATGAACTTATTAGACACTGACTGGAACAGAGTAGTATGTGTAAATTATTCTAGTCTTTAGTGACAACATTAAATAATCATTCTTATTCGCAAAACACCACAAAATTAATTTTACAGCACGTAGGCACTTTTAGTGACATTAGTAAGTTAACTGATTTAAAACATCTCTGCAACTTAATAGTGAACCCTCTTTACCCACAAACACTTTCTTTATGGAAATGTGCATTTCTAAATAATGTGAACATGTGTATTATCATTTAAAGAAATGCTGCATCTTCCACAACTTTTTACTCTGTAATCTTAGCAAAAAGAATTTTCTGGCACAACTTCACCTGCTTCCAAAGTGCATGGAGAGGATAAAAGAAATCACAAAGCAGATTACTCTGTAATCTTGACTTCGGCCATGCAGTTCTTAACTCATTCACTGCCATTGACGTCTATAGCCGTCAATGGGTTTAACCCATTCACTGCCAATGGCTGGCAGTGAATGGGTTAATGTACCTGCAGCTTTTGGAGCATTTCACATCCTCAGAATGGTTTCTAACCTCTCTGACAACTTGCATATAAAAGGGGTTTAAATTTTTGATTCAATAAATTTGAGTCAACTCCCCATAATTTTTTAACCTATAGTTTATATATTACATTAGGTAAGTAACTGGTTTGTCTTTGATTCAGTACGTACAAACTTTAGTTCCTTGTTTGTGTTGAGAGCGCTCTCAGTTCTCTGATTGAGCAGGGTGAAAAAATGTTCTGTGGAATTTTTTAAAAAAAAAAGAGCATCTGTAAGCAGTGATTCTGCTAGATAATAGTTCCAACTACTGTTTGCTGGGCTATAAATAAATCAAGAACATACCAATCCCTTTCTTTCTTTCTTTCTGAAAAATCACTTGGAGGTAGATATTTGAACCTAGAAACAGGATTTAAGGAGATTGGCCTGTCATGACAGTCCTGCTTATTTAGCACAACTTGATTTTAGTCCGTCTTCCAAACCAAGTTCAGGAGCTTCACAACTTCCTCGTAGATAATGAAGACTATTGCGACATCCATACACACCCGACCCAGCCGAGGCACAGTACCTTTGTAGAACCTAATGAAGTAACAGACAGTGAATGTTACATTAGGCAACCATGATATCAGAGTTTCACAATACTACAGGGTCAATAAAAAATAATTTTAAAAAGTTAGTGGCAATAACTCTATAAGCCAAATTTATTCATTTCTGACCAAAGATATCTATATGAAGCTGTAGATCATAGGTGACAGAGCCTATAAGTATAAATTCAGCTTAACTAAAGTTTTAAATATTTAAATGTATAATATGTTGCTACTCTGCAGTAAATTATTTTTATTTTTGTACTTTGTATATTCATTTATTCATTCCCTAGTTTTTGTTATATTTATGAAATTACAGAACTGTAATGAAGTAATGACAATGTAAGGCACTTGCAATTATACAGTGCTTTTCTAGACCTACTAACCACTCAAAGCACGTCAGACTATAAGTCACATTTAACCATACAACAGTTTATTCAATATACTTTGCACACTTCATCTACCTCACACCCAATGTCCAGCCACAAGTTGACCTAACATGGGCGCTGTTAAACTGTGGGAGGAAGCCAGAGCTATATTTTTATTATTATTATTATAGTTGGGGTTTTTTTTGTTTTTTTACACCTGATGATGTGACCCTAAATGAATTAGTCTCTCCTGGGGATCTTTTGCTTGTTAGACAAATGTGTAAACTGCTACATTATTGAGCCACTACGGGGAAGGCCAGAGTACAGAGGAGAAACCCCCGCAGGCACAACAGAGTGAACATGCAGACTCGACCCAGAAAGAGCCCAACCAGTGTTTGAACCGGTCCCGTGACGTTACAGTGCTAACAACTCCACTACTGTGCTGCTGACTACTTTTTTAAAGAACAGTTATGAAGTGGAGGATAAAATATCAATTAGCAGCTGTAGACCTAGTCTGAAACAGAGCACCTATAAAGCTATACAGACGAGCCATACAAAGTTTCCCTGTGAATCAAACTAAAGCAACTTTGACATTAACGATAACACAACAGCTTGAAAAAAATGGTCAAAATTGAAGATAAACAGATGAGTTTTCAGTTTGTGTTCCTCTGGTTATCCAAATCTTACATCATTTTGATTCTGAATTGTCTGCAGATGTGTTCTGAGCTTAAATACACCTTTGTTTTTATCATTCCTACAATGAACAGGCTTAATCTCAGTCTATAGTATAAAGTGGGTTAATGGATAGATGGATAAGTCACCACACACATAGAATTCCCTTCCTGAAACATCCTCCAAGGGATGTATGTGTCCTACCAGGCTTGAACCAGGTACGTTAGGCAGATGTGTAAACCACTACACTATGCAGTCACTAACTAAATTACATGATGTTCTCACCAATATAAATGTGGTAACTGACAGTTTAACAGTTCAAACAAGGCCAGATCCAACAGTGAGAATAAATAGATATATATTTAAAACCTTTAAATCATTTTCCCCCAGATACTATATCAACCAGGCACATGAACTTACGCCAGTGGTCCCTCATGCTTCAGGATCTTGACCGCACAGTCTACTGTGCTTTTGTACTTGTGAGCTTCAAGGCCCTGTTGGAAAATATGCATATATACATGTTAGTTGGAAAGCTAAGGGATAAACTAGGAAAACTGGAAATATGTTAAGGTACTAACCTGCATTCTGGTCTTAATGACATCCAGGGGAGTGTTTCCGAAGACACTGGCAGCCCCGGCAATAGCTCCAAACAGTCCAGTTATCAAAGGGTTAATGGCTTTGTTGGGGTCATCACCTAGGCGTCAGAAGAAAAAAAAAGAAACAAAAAGAGTTTTGTTTTTTTTACTGCATTTTTATTTGCATCAAGTGGTTGCAAATGTATTGACTCCCTTACCTTTGTACCAGTTTCTTAGTGAAGTCATGACATAGAAGCGGATGGCCTGGTTTGAGCCTTGTTTTAGGACAGTGGCTGTTAACCCTTGATAAGTCCCCTTTAGTCCTAAAAGTGCAACAGTAAAATAATCACTTTTTCATGACAACCTTTATTACAGCTTTCATATTTATCACCTAAAATGAATTCATGAACTTCTCAGAAGTCATAAGGAGGATAATTATCTAAATAACACGTGTATAAATGGTAGGAACAACAGGTGGCAGTATAATGCAACTGAAGCCCTTCTTACCTTGGGATCTAATAATCTCCCTCACCCCATGGAAAAATCCCCTGTACTTTGGATTTGCTGATGTCTGATCATGGATGAATTTGACCTGCAAGGACAAAGCTGAACTGTTAAATGACTGCAGTATCCCATAACTTTAATTTTCCAATTGTGTTCGCACCAGGGATATTAGTTTTGTGTTTTTATTGTGTTTATATTTTCTATTTTGATGCCTGAAGTTTTTAACCGTATAAAAGGTTTATGTTTGATTCCGTTTTAGTTTATTAGTTTCCATTTTAGTATATGAATTAGATGTTAGATTGACTAGAAGTGCTATAATACAACAATACATGCATATCTTACTTCACCCTTACTCATTCTTACTGTATTTCGTTGTGCTGTACTTCAGATCAATATAAATGAGAACCATGAAAAAAATAATTGTGTCATTCCAAAGATTTAACATATAACCTATAAAATCAAATTTATTGCATTTTATGTTTACTCTCTGGGGAGATGATTCAGTGTGAAAGCTTTCATTCTACCTGTTAATGCTTTCAGTGGAATCTTAACCAGAGGAAAATGATCCAATTTAGAGTTCAGCTGTGGGTTCGGCAGCCTGTTTACTGAAAATTTAATGCATGTAGCAAGTTATGGTACGAAATGGAAAATGCACCTATAATTAACATTACCATTATGCACCACTGCCAGTTTTGTCGATGTTTTTTGTGAATGCATCACTCTGATCCCTTGGTCAAGTGTATTTATTCCTAATAGAGCTAATTAAGGGAGCACTGAAGCACTTTTTCTCAGCATTTAGAGAAATCAGCTAGCCTTTCTTGTGGCTGCCACACAGGTATTTCTGGGTCATTTCACTTAGTTTGGAACCTGTCTAAAGAAACTTTATCAAGGTTAGGCTGACAAATGTACCTACCCAGGCAAAGGCTAAAACTAAGAACATTTCCTCTATATTGTTATTTTATGTTACTGTAATACCATGCCAAGATTCATATACCACACAAGTAAGTTTACTTACTCCACTAAAAGCTACATTTGGCTCCTTCCTTATTCACAAGGGACTGCACCAATGGGTTGTTCCATTTATTTGATTTGATAGAAACACCAGATATCCTTCCTGATGTAAGCCCAGAGAGATTTGTATCTCCACCACACGTAATAAAAAATATTTGAATTGAAACACACAACATGATGTGTTCAACTTATTTTTTTACCTTAATTGTTTCCATAGGACAGACTACAACCACAGCCTCTGCCACTCCAGCTCCAAGGCCACAGAAAAATCCTTGCTTGCTGTCTAGTTTGCCACTCTCATCACGCATCTTATTACCGAGGAACTCAAACATCCCAAATCTGTAGAAGTGAGAGAATTTTTTTAAACAAAGTCAGAGATACATTTCATCTCACTTAGAAGCCATTAATAGTAACAGCTTTCCTATTGTGAATTGCACTAACTAATGAATTAACATTTGGCCTTTCTTACTACAACCATGGCCTGTACTAGGAAACTCCTGAAGAAGCTTGAGGAGAATATAGATTAGGTCTGGATGAGAAAAAATCCTGGCAAATCATCAATTATTATTCACAAGTGACAATCAAAACTAAGAACAAATAAAAAAATAAGCAATTACCTTTATTTACTCATATGGCTATAAATTTTAAATCAACTGATCAAATATTCAGTTAATCATAAAGCAAATACAAATCAATGACAAATCTTTTGATAATATCGTGTGATATCTACAGTTTGCTTCAAAATTAGAAACATTTTTATTTTGAGTTTTAATGGCATGATGTTATTCCTACACTGTAAAACAAAGTGAAAAACCCTGAAAAAAATCCTGAAGTTAAGTTGGAAAAAAGTTGCTGTAAAGTTAATAGATGACTGTGCACATTCCAAAACGTGTTTAGTGTGCTCATTTGCTTTTTGTTTGTGGCGCTGCAGTACCTGACAGCTGCTTTAGGTATAGAGCCATAGACCAGCGAGCTTAGACCTCTATAAAGACCCCTCACACCATGACCTTTCACTGTCTGCTTCACACAGTCAACTGCAGAGGGAAGGAAACAGGATAAATGACAAGACAAAAAGCAAAAGGAAGCAGCTTTTAAAAAGAAATTTACTTTGATCCACTGGTATCAAAGATCAGTTGTGCATATGCACAGTTATTAAAAAAAAAAAAAAAAAAAATAAAAAATAAAAAAAAAAAAACCTCTAATAAACTGTTAACAGATAAGACTGAATTTGATGGAAACAACAAACAGTCCTTTGTACCGAGGTTTGTACTGTGTACTCAGTTTCAGTACGCAAGCACGATTTGTGCCAAAGTTCATGAGCAAAGATCAATTTACTACACAAACACTATTTGCTAATGTCTGCGCACTCACAATGCTTGTTATTCCAGGTGTGTAAGTCAGGAGAGCTGTGCAAACAGCCCAAAAGATTGCGACAACTTCAAATCAACATAAATGATTAAACAATTAATGATTAACACCCAGTACAGCTGATCCTTAACCGTTTCAAGTAGCCATTAAACAAATACGTTTTTACATCATTGGAAATTCTGCATTGAGCCGAGTCGCGGTATCTTCATGCAAACAACTTTAAATGTGTTTATTACAGTGTTGGTGTTATTTGCTTGTTCTGGTTTTTCATTTTCAAACGCATTTTCTGTATTGTCTACTGTATGTGTCGAGCAATAATTTAAAGATGATGTTTTGTTGTGTTTTTTCTCACCCATCTGAGCCATTATAAGGCCCAGTCCAGAATGCCCATTATCATTGTTTTGTCAATGAGTTGAACTTTTATCTATTATTATGCCATGTTTAACATCCTTTTCAGCTATTTAGATCAGCATGTGCAGCTTTGATTCTCCCCCAGATCCAACAGGAGTCAACTGCCATAAGTACAAAGCCTGATTACTAAGGGATCAACTGTCTTGTGAAACTGGCAGAGCAAAGTTCAAAGGACAGAAATGGTAACTTGGCCCACCTCCTCCACGTTGTCTGCTTGTAAGGGTCGCCCACAGTCATTCAGATCTAGATTAGCCACCTAACGTCAATACCTGCGTATACATAGGTCCTTACCTGACCTGAGAATTGCAATTTTGTATTTTAATAAGTAAAGAAATCCTGAAAGTATTATTCATTCAGATTTTTTCCTTCAACAGTATCTATCATTTCTGTTTAAATAATTAATCTTTGAGATAGATGGAGAGATTCAGAAAGATTTCTATGGTAGTTAGATAAGAAGAATGATACCAGTTTTATCTCTGTGAAGTTACAGATACTCTGCTAAATTAATATCCATATTACCGATGCTCTGAAGCCACTATAACAACACATAAGTTCTATTAAAAATGTTAACTCTACATCAGCACTGTACTTTATGTAATATAAAGTACTGAAGCATCATAAGTAGGGGTGCAACGACACTCGTATTGATAACCGTTCGATACAGTGCTTTCGGTTCGGTACGCATATGTATCGAACAATACAAAATTTTTAATTTATTTTATCAACTTTTCTTCTGACGATGCTGTCTGTGTTGAGCGCTCAGTGGATCTGCGCTCGACAGTGCAGCCTAGGCGGAGTAGTCGAACGCAGATTCACTGAGCGCAGGGGAAGCTAGCGAGACAGAAGCTCTCCTTGCAACATGGCAAATTGAACCTCCCCCACCCTCATTCAGATCTGGCGTTTGGAACTATTTTGGTTTTCATGTGACGTATGACTCTGAAGGTAAGCGCGTCATGGACTAAAGTAAAACAGTATGTTGGATGTGCCATGCAATGCTCAATTACATGGGTGGGAACTAGTGTGTTAATGCAGTTAGCTCGTTAACGTGTTGGCCGTCTAGCCCCACACACGGGGCGATCGGCGGTAGCTCGTTAACGGAGATTTGCCGTATTGTGGCGTTAATGTCATTTCAACGAGATTAACGCTGACAGCACTAGTGGGAACACAACGAATATGACTGCACATTTACTCCGACAGCATCCTAGTGCAAAGACAAGTGGAAGCAGACAAAAACAACAAGCATGCATGCTACAAACTTTACCCGAGTCATTTAGACAGCCGTTAGCACATGATTCTCCTTATGGGGACCTGATATGTTTAATATGCTGCTGAGAATATAGCCCAGAAGAAGCTTATAGTATAGCTTTTATTTTGGAAAGAGACATTTCTCTGTAATAAACTCTCTTTTCCAAAGATGAGTGATTCCTCAATCAGATATTTTTATTTTTTATTACTTTTTTGTTTCAGCAACATTAAATTTAAAAACTGTACTTTTGAGTTAAAATAAATATTTATAATTTTAATAAATGACAAATTAAAAAGGCATGAACATTTTTTTTGTATCGAAAAAATATCGAACTGTGACACCAAAGAATCAAACCGAACCGAACCATGAATTTTGTGTATCGTTGCACCCCTAATTATAAGGTATGTTAAATGTGTTTGTTTGTTTTTTTAAATTGTGATATCATCAAAAGTGCTAGAACTAAATAAAAAAAGAAAAGAAAAAGACAACATTAAACAAGGACTCACCAATGCCTTTGTATTTAGGAGGATTGGCCTTTTCATCTAGCTGCAGTTGTGTTTTAACATATTCTGTTGGGAAGGTGATGCAGATCTCTATGCCTCCTGCAATCCCACCTAAAGAACGGGCAAGGAGGAGGGGGGGAAAAGAAAATGCTGGTTTCAAAAGAGTCAAAACGAGCTATTTAAAAGACTAAAAGATTTATTTTTGCAGCTCACACAAAATAAAATGCAATAAATTTAAAAAACAAAATCAATTAAATAAAATACACACAAGATGCAGGCCATGTGACCATTTAAAAGAAGCTCAAAGGAATACAGATAAAAACCTTGGTGTGGTTAGGTGTGAAGGATATCTGATACGGTTTGTAGAATAAAAGCAAGTGTGAAAAGAAAAGTCGCTTTTCAAAAATGTTAGTGAGGTGCACATTACCATTCACCACATCTACACTGCACTGTTTCACGGATGCCTGCTATACAGTTATTCATGTACAAGTGCAGACTAGCTCCACCTTAAAAGCCTGGTTGCTACAGATCTGCAGTTGAACAGCTAACAAGCATCCTGCAGCTGATTGGCTCAGCTGTTTTTTCAGTTGTTTTCTGACTACAGATACTCCCCTTGGCCCATCTCCAACTCAAGGGGGTGTGTACTCTCCATACACATTAATGTGCAGCAGGATGGATTCAGCAAGGTGACAGCGGACCAGTTCCTCGACTACCCAGAAGGGACAAGTTTAAATTACAAGTAGTAAACTGTCAAAGCATTAAGAACTGTAAAAAGTGGGGTAAAAAGGGGAAAAGCTAGACAAAATATAGGTTTTTTTGGCCAGTGTGCTTCTGGGTTCAATGTGTTGAGAGTATCTGGCAATAATGGGGAAAACTAAGAACTCAGTGGATGAAAATAAAGGCTTTAATGTGCTTTTTCACTCATGTTTACTTTTGGATTCATTCACAATACAAAGTTCAGTTCTGTGTTGTTGTGTAACATGCATTCTTTCAAACAAATGTCATGCAGAAAAATCCAACACAGCAATGGTTCTAGCTCACACACAAACAAGCGGGGCTGTTTGTGAAAAAAAAAATAACCCCTTAATTACAGTCTGACTAACCACTGTCTTCACAACAACATCAAACATGGTAGCATTTTGGCTACCAGCCCATTACATAAACGGTGCCATTTATGACACACCCAGGCATAATTCTGTCTAAATAGAAAAAAACAAAACAAAAAAAAAAAAACAGTCCGCATCAAGACGCAGCTGAGTAGTACCTGCAGCTCGTTCCCCATATTGAAGCTGGAAAAAGATACAGAACTGGTTTATTAAGTCCAGCATGTACAGACATGCCGAGCAGGAATTCTGAAACTACTTTTTCCTTTTTAAAATTACTTGCAACAATAACAAAAATGATTTCTATAAAGAGAAGGCACGTGGTTCCTTAGGAAACATTAGAACAGCAATATTTAGTAGTATCTTTTGAAAATGTTACAGTAGGAAGGAATGTAAAACAGACCCAAGATATTACTGGTGTAAAAGGTTATTAACATGACCTGTACTTTTTCAGAAAAAAAAAAAATCATACATAAGTATTTAATTTACATTTACTTTTTTTTTTTTTACTTCATATTAGCAGGATAAGAGCGCATATTGTGCCAGTAAGCTTATGAGGTAATAGCAACATATAGTAATTCTAATATCTTTGAACAAGCCAGGCTAATTGCTTCATCTTAATGCTGTGTTAACCAGTGAGTGACATAAAAGTGGCCATGTACATCTTTTACATAGTCTGTGACATCACATGGTGTGTGGATAATCTCCCATTCACACTTGTCAAACACTATCCAAGTGAATAAGAACTTCAACTTTCACATGAAAGCTATATGAAAGCTGTATGTTTGGAAAAATGCAGTGAGTCAAACTGTCAAACTACACCTTAAAAAAAAAAAGAAAAGAAAAAAAAGTAGAAGATGGCATTTCAGTGCCAACAGAGAAATGGGATTTCTTGGCAAAAATGCCTCAACAATAGCTCCATCTATGTACATCACATATATACTGGGTTATTAATAGTGTGTTTTACAGTACTTTTGATACAGCCAGATTATTCCCATTATACACAAAGTTGGATATATAAAGTCCTCTTCTAGTGTGCTTCTAGTCAACAAGTGGTCATTTCTGCCAGGATTCAATGAGAGAGAGCAGGAGAACCATATTTGTGGCTGGCATGTTGGAGAATGCATGCAAAGGGTGAGAGAGCAATGTGCTTTGTCACTGTGGCTCATTATAGGGAACATGGAGAGCTGGGCCTTTGAGGACACCATACACAGCCAACACATCAGCAGAAAACACCCACTGAACTGCTGACTGTGACACAGAGAAAAATCACACGGACATGTGCGGCTTTATCTTTGAACTTTTATAACAAGTTTCACAAAAATGGATTAAAGCTGGACCTAAAAGCAAAGTTCAACAGAAAGCTCCACTTGACATTTATAATCTAGGACCAAGCTTAATTGATATCTGGCATACAACCAGATCCTAATGTTAAAAAATAAGCTTAGTAAAACTGGAGCATGTGTGTGCATGCTAACAATGTTGCAATGTTGACTGTCCTGTAGTTAGTACACACTGAGCTGTGCAAAATATGTGTATGTCACTGACTGACCCGTGAAAGCTGCAGGACACCAGAGTTCATTTCACTCAGCTGTCTGAATGCTAGAGTCTACAAGTCCCAGATCATACCAGCTCCTCTGGCCCCAAGCTGAGGAGCAGGGTTTGTCACAGCAGGTACTCTGTGCAGGCAGGTAAGTGTTTTGTACCACAGCAGACTCACATGGACCTTCTGTTCATGTCTTAGAGGCCATAATTATTCCTCTGTTTAGAAATACTTTAAATTTTGTTCTTACCACATCAGAGTTTGCTTGCTGTAATTATTGCTCCTATTCAGACTGAATCCTGGTTTAATGTTGAACTCTGACATTATTTTTTAAGACACTTGAAAACTTTAGATATGTTTATCTACCCGCTATTTCCTGATTATGGTGTTCACAGATAAGCCTGCTGCAGTCGACTATAAAGGGTGGACTGCTAACTTCTCAAAATAACCATGCTGTACTTGTACAACAGTATAATACTTAGCAAAATAGTAAGACGTGTGCAAAACCCCCTTTCCTGGATCCTGGCTCATAAAGAGGCAGACTTATTTTAAGTTTATCATTTACCAAATTGCTAAATGTTTTGGCTGAACAGACCAAATCTACCAAATGTCAGGTTTTCTACAACAAAAAGAGAAACAAGCAAACACTTTAGCCTGAAAAGATAAAAAGAAGATAATAATAGTGATAACACAGAGGCTGAGCAGCAGATGTTTGCCGGAGACACTAGGAAGTGATTACTGCCGTGCTCTGATCCCACCTGCAATTAAAGGCTCACTGTTGAAACTTCGAAACAAGTTGCAGGGCGGCCTCTGCTCAGTCCCACATCAACTTTCTTACCTGCTAAAATGGCCTTGCCGGGATGGGTAAGTTTGGCTTTCCCCGCGGAAGCTGCAGCAGCCAAACACTGGGGTCTGTGAAACGGGCTGACAAATGTTTGTCCAGACATGACTGCGGTACCCCGGCCTAACTTTCTTTTTGAAGTCAATCCGGACCTCCTCTATCGCCGCAAACCCAGCCAGCTGTGAGTCCTGGTGCAGTCCGGGTGTTCAGTGCAGCGGCGGCGGAAAAAATAAAAAGGCGAGCAGGCGGTGCTGAACATTGGACTTTTGATGCTGGCTAAGAGTGCATGTCTGTGTACTTTTGACAGGGAACTTCCCTCCGTGCCATACAGAGGTTGGCAGCATCGACTCAGTATTTATTCAGGGCGAGGCAGGACGTGTCACTCCCCCCCCCCAATACCGCAAAACGCCATGTTTGTCACAAACATTTAAGGAGGACCGGCCTCATTAAGCGACATACTTGACACGCCTTTAGAGGGCGCCGTTTCTCTTCTTTTCATTCTTCTGTACGGCGATTAACCTCGTATAATTAGACTTATTTCCGCCACCTGCTGGGCTGGAGTGAGTGTACGGTACAGGACTTTATTCTGCAATATTGCAAAAACAGAGTTTGTACAAGTTCTAATGAACTTTAAAGTCAATATTTCATATGACTACCTTTATTCTTAACACGGACTGAACTTTCTTATTCCTTGTTTCCCTTCGTCAAGACAGTCACCTTGCCACTGAGACCATTTCTGATGAGGAGTCAGTAACAGCATATGGATAAACTATAGGGTTAGATTCACCTCTTAGTTCCTGTGCAAATCTTTTTCCTTTTCCAGATTACTTTGAAAATCTGCTGTTGATTTTTTTTAATGGTTCCTAAGTGACTTAACAAACAAACAAACAAAACATGTGTCTGAAAACGGTAAGGTACAAGGACTTGACTGAAAGTGACAAGCAGCCAGTGTCCAGTGAAACACTCTAAATGATGGAAAACTATTTCACAGGACCACTTTAAAAATTACAATAAGGTAACTTCTTGGAAGTAAAATATGATGAACTATGCAGTGGCTCAAGACCTCCGCACAGAGCTCTAGCTTAACCATTAATTTTCCTATAGCTTATCTAACAATCACATTAACTGAAGTTGGATGAAGTTAAACTTTGATTTGTATTAATGTTTAACCCTGTACCCATTTCTTCAAGAGGCTTTGCCTTTTCCCAGATGCCATTTGGGGACAGAGAGAGATTGAAGTCCTCCCAGCTTCTCATCACATCTGAGGGTAAAAGGTCTTTAACATCCAGCCTTATATGTTAAAAGTGATGCAGAGTGCTGCAACAGACTTTTTTCTATATGTGCTTTTGAAAAATATAATAAATCATCCTTATTCTTAATCAAAGATATAATAAAAGCATAAGTCTGATTAATGTGCTGCATGAAAAATGCAGTTTGAGTAATTAAAACTGTTCTAATGTCTGGATTATGTAGACATGATCCAGTTTGGACCTTGGAAAATAATGGTTCTAATGACAGGCCTCTGTCCCACTGAGAGTCTGACTTTGGAGTGAGTGGGTGAGTGAGGGAGGGAGGGAGCAAAGCTGAAGAGCCACGGATCTAAAAGAATATCTGATTTTAACATGACTGATTTGATAAAAGAAATTGTACTGAGTATAGTGTGATCAATAAACACTGAGTTTGAAGTGAGAGAAAGTATTCCTTTGTATTTGAATTAAAAAGGGATTTACTAAAATGGATGTACATATGAGAATAAGCAATCCTGAGTTCAATTCCACCATCAGGCCGGGGTCTTTCTGTGAGGAGTTTGCATGTTCTCCCCGTGTTTGCGTGGGTTCTCTCCGGGTACTCCGGCTTCCTCCCACTGTCCAAAGACATGCACTTAGTGGGGATAGGTTAATTGGTTAATCCAAATTGCCCATAGGTGTGAATGTGCGAGTGAATGTGAGTGCGAATGGTTGTCTGTCCCTGTGTGTTGGCCCTGCGACAGACTGGCGACCTGTCCAGGGTGTACCCCGCCTCTCGCCCTATGACAGCTGGGATAGGCTCCAGCGCCCCCCGCGACCCTGAACAGGATAAGCGGACGCGAATGGATGGATGGAAATAAAATTGCATAAACTGAATGAAACATGAACTGAATTGTATTTATATTTGATTGAATGTTCATATGTAATAGAATTTTCAACACAAAGAATAACACAGCAAAGAAGAAAATGTAATTAAGTGATTTTAAAGTTTAAACTTTGCTTTAAATCATGCATGTGGAAAAGTCAGAGAGAGGATGATAAGGTGTGACTGGACACCGGGTGATTAGTAGTCAACAACAGTCTATGGATGTCAGAGTGGGTGAGGCCAGATGTCATCTCAGAAAATGTGATGTCCAGAAAGAGAAGGGATGACCGGGTATAAAAATCTTGTGCAGATGAGATAAAGATTTCTGCCCTTTGTAAGATGTTCACGGCCGAAAAGTGCTGCAGAGATGCCAGAGGATTTAACAGCTGCCCAAACTATTAACCTGCAAATCGGTCTTGTATTTTTTGCCTTTTCCTCTGCTCATTTTTGCCATGTTATATTATAGAATCAAGAGGACTTCACAGAGATAAGCACAACTTCAGATCTGGATGTGCCTGTTCTCTCCAACTTTTCTCCTCACAAAGATCAGACAAAAGTTAGCATTAGCTCAGAGTAGGTTCATTAGATAAGTATAATTCAGATGATTTGATTCCTCCTTTGCTTTGTTCTTGATAAATTGTTCTAATAAAAAAAATCTAAGGAGTGGACATTCCCTTTTTAACCCTTTGTGAAACAGTAAAGGTTAAAACCTGAGTATTAATCTGCATTAGTATAAATAACTCGTACAGGTTACTCCAGCCCTTTAAAAGTAACTGACCCTTGGGGCTTAGTTTTCCAACCTGTTATATTTAACACAGTTTGTTACCAAGTGCACTAATCTACAGGGCAGTTGTCGGAATTGGTGTGACTGGTAAGATACTGACCGGGCATGTAAAACTACTCAGAGTCTGGATTTTATCTGTGGAGGCAGGGTAGACACCTGGATGACTTTTGAGGCAATTAGAACTGGGCGAGTCCCCTCAACCATCTGCCCCATTTAAGCTCTGTATTGCCGACTGGGTAATACTCATAGGATCAGAGATTAGGATTAGTTAGAGAGCGGATCCAGACTTCCAGTATTGGAGTGCTGGTCCCAGAAATAGACAAATGTTCTTTTGAGTGGTTAAATAAAAGTTGCATTGACTCACTATACCAGTAGAATGGGTCATCTATCAAACTGAAGGTTGATGGATCAGTTCCCCGGCTACTCCTGTCTATATGTCGAAGTGTCCTTAAGGAAACCACTAAATCCCAAGTTGCCATCTATCGGAATGTGCATGAAGATTAGACAAAGTGCTTAGGTATAGAGAAAAATCCTTGAATGAATGTCTGATGTCTGCTTGGGTGACTGAGGCTTATAGGAAAATGTGCTTTGAGTGCTCAGTTTAAGCACAAGGGTTCTATAGAAATAGCATTTAAAATCCATTAAAAAGTGGTATTACATGAGTTCAATTTCAACTGGCATTTCTTCAACACCAAAACTCACAGGGGTTCTTTCCTCACAATCTCTTTACAAGCTGATATATCAGACTAATTCAGTTTTATTTCAGATAACAGCACATAAAAGTAAATGACCAGAATATATGTCCAAAAGCACAAAAACTGTATGACGACTGATGTTTCCACATTCATTGTCTTCCATACTTAACAACAGGATGTTGAAGATGGAGCTGCCAGTCAGGAAGAAATGATCAGTCATTCCTCCACTCTTATACCTCACCCTATGTTCCCTCCTATTTTTTAACTTTGTGTTCACCACAGCTATTTTCATCTTTTTTCCAAAATCCACTACCATCTGTCCTGCATTTCTCTCTTTAACACCA